ATTAAAATGCAAAGCATTTTGAGCAAAAGTGAAGAGGTTATCTACTGTGTCTATGTCAAGCACATTAGAACAGGAAGCCAACAGGATACAGATATCAGGTGATTCAGTAAGGACTTCTGTTTTTTCGGGAATTGATGCATTCTGTGGAAAGAATAGGAAAGAGATGGCAGATGGACATTGGATAGTGCTTAAAGAGAAGATTCAAAATATACTGCTGTCACTCTGGAAGACATTAGATGTCATTTTTCGAAAGAACTTCACCACGATCTCAAGGGAAAACATTGGTAATTGAAGGCAGTTAAAATTGAGATTGCGGTTGGCAAAGGGACTAGATTACTTACGCCACACTAATGCTTTGATTCCAAATGTGAAAATTAAATGAGGTTCAATAAATATCCTTTATGAACATTTCAATTATACTTGATTGATAGTTGAAGATTCAATAACTGCTTTCTTTACTGCACTATCCATTTCTTTTGAAACAGAAAAACAGTATCAGCAGGTCTTACTTTAGTCACTTGCATATAGGAGCGAAATAGAATCTCATCCATGTCCACCAGATGTTCTTGTTTTATCCCACCCATTCCTCTGGAATTAACTGTCTTTGCATAATTGCATTGCACCCGCTCATAAAGAAGACAGTGAAGTTGCACAACTGTTAAACTGCTTAGAAAGTGGTATTTCTCCATCTGTTTCATGGGTATTTATGCTTCATTGTATTAAGATGCTGTTTACTTGCCATACAATACAATTTATATGTCTTGTCTTTCTATTTCCCATGTGTTACTCAAGAATGTCCCAACTTCAAAGGTCATCTTGTAACAACTTTTTATGATTATGCTGGTTTGGCAGAGAGGAGATTGGTTATGATGGATGGAGGCTTGATTTTGTTCGTGGGTTTTGGGGTGGTTATGTGAAGGATTACTTGGAAGCAACTGAACCTTATTTCGCTGTGGGCGAGTTTTGGGATTCCCTCGTTTATACTTACGGAGAGATGGATCACAATCAAGATCCGCATCGGCAGAGAATTATTGACTGGATTAATGCTACTAATGGAACTGCAGGAGCATTTGATGTGACAACAAAGGGAATTCTTCATTCTGTAAGTTTTTCAAACTTTACTCCTTGCACAGTGGATGCAATACTTGACCGACAGTACTTAATAAAAGGAAGGATTGGGAAATCAGTTTTTTAGTGTTAACAGCATTCTCTTTCAAATTCTATGTAATTAGGCAATTGAAAGATGTGAATACTGGCGACTATCCGATCAGAAGGGAAAACCTCCCGGCGTTGTTGGATGGTGGCCATCTCGTGCTGTTACCTTTATAGAGAATCATGATACAGGCTCTACACAGGTAAAATATGCTCTTTAGTTATCAGAGGATTGAAGAGGCTCCTCTTTTAATCTTGATCAATGATAAAAGGGCTTTTATGAGGAGACAGATAGTTCAGCATATCCACTGGCCTGAACCAACTATATGCCTTTCTTGGTCATTCAGTTAATTTATTACCTTTTTCCTGCTTAGTGTGGTTGGATCCCTCAAGCATGAGAGCTAAATGAACTCTTGAATCCTGGGAACTACCTACAAATGCTATTTACAGTTAGATATCATGATGAAATGTAACCCCTGTAGCGTTTCTATTGGCACTAGTGCATAGCTGTGACCACCATTAGGAAGAATAGTTCTCCTTGGAAATCAGTGAAGAAACTAAAATCCTAGTCCAGCCTAGTCGTCAACTTTGATTTTCTTTGGTTTCTTTGCTCTTGATGTTCCATAATTTGCTTGTCGATATCTTAATTGGCAAACGTTCTCGCAAACACAAGGCTGTAAAATTCTTCAGCGTTTTTTTTTGGTACAGAACATCTCTCTCAGGTTCCATTTGGACTCATTGACTTAAAATCCATGCATTTGAGCTGAAAAAGTGATTCGCATATGAACTAATGGGATGATTGTAAATTTTGAAATGGATTTTGTCTCCCAATTTAGGTAGCACTCCAAACTCTTCTATTGATGTTTTTCAAATGTTTCTTTACATTTTCACAAAGTATTTAGAGTTTGTAGTTGCAAATTTAGAAGTCCTCAGCTGGAGCAATCAAATAAAATTGGGACTCTTCTCTTTATTTTTTTGGGTTACATGGCCTTAGTTTAGTTCCATATTCTTCTTTCTCATGCTGAACCTCTAGTCACTTCTTTAGGGCTTGTCATATGATCTCCTCAATAGACTTGTAATTGATTGTTGTAATAACTGGAATCATGGAATAACACTGAGCATAAGAGCTGACTTGTTTTTCATCCTTATTATTTTTTTCTGTATCTTGGGCTTTTCCTTGAAGGGTCATTGGAGATTTCCTGGTGGGAAAGAGATGCAAGGTTATGCCTATATCCTGACTCACCCTGGAACCCCGTCAGTCTTCTTTGATCACATTTTCTCTGGTTACCAATCTGAAATAGGAAATCTTATATCACTCAGAAAGCGGAACAAGATCAGCTGTCGGAGTATGGTAAGTCTCAAAAACTATGTTGAGCTGCAGGTTCTTTTTGACCTCTGTGGTTAATTTCAGCTTAATCTGAAAAGTTAAGTGGTTGATTGATTTTGAATGAATAGGAAGGTGAGAAGAGGAGAACAAACATTTTCATATTTCTTCAGTTAACATACTCCTTTCCCCTCTTTTCTGTTCTGACCAATCAAACATGAAACTAACTCATTTTTAGAATTGCTCTATGATACAGTAAAAGGACCTCTTGAAAAACTAACAAATGTATATTACATGCATGCAATAGATGGAACCTTTGATGCATTTTTGGGAAGTATCAGGTTATACGTTTTTCGTAAGGTGAAGAATTATATATCTTAAAGAAAGTACATTCGGATGGTATTTTTGTTGATGAATTCGACACATATATTCAAAATGTTAACAACAGTAGAACTGGTATTTGCCAGTTCAGCTGCAATCATTTTTCTCTCTGTACCCAGTTACTAATAATTCCTTAGTAATTCGAATACTTAAATACTCTCAAACGAGCTTTTTTGCTGCAAAATTCTGTATGAACATTATCAAGATATCCTTTCCTGGATACAGGACCAATACTATTCCTAATATGCTACGATTTCTGTCTGATCAGGTGGTAATAACAAAGGCTGAAAGAGATGTTTATGCAGCAGTTATTGATGATAAGGTGGCTGTTAAAATAGGTCCAGGCCACTATGAGCCTCCAAGTGGGCATCAGAGATGGAAAATGGCTGCTGAGGGTAACAATTACAAGGTTTGGGAATTGTCATGAAAACAATCGCCTTCTTTCCCTGTTCCAATATACTACTATTCGTAAATGTTTGGGGTAAGCAATTGCAAATTTATTTGCCAAGTGACTGGAGATGGAAGGAGTTAATGCCGTAAGAAATGATGTACTGCAGCGGATGTATCTAGTTTTGCTGCAACACAAACTGAAGTTATTGGAGTAAAAATAGCAAGAGTATGAATAGTCTGGTAATAATTGCTATTAATATTGTTGTATTTGGAGAAATCCAAAGATGTACACTATACATAGTCTGGTAAAGATTGTATATGATAGATACCACTACATTGTATTGCCTTTTCAGAAGATAAAGAGGCATTGTAAAGATCTTCTATACAACTTATTCGCCATATTGGCGATAGACACTTCTTTTATCGTATAAATACTAGAATGTACCTATTGATGTATTGTATTTGTATTACTATCAAGCAATCGTTATGTAAACAATCGAGTTGCTTGTTCAGCTACTGAATAAAAGTCTTCAGCCTTATTTGGACAGAATTTGTACAGATTTGAGTTCACTTGATGAGATTAGTATACTGAATATGTTTAGCTTTTAAAGGATTTCCTAATGTTGTCTAAGAAACTGAGGAAATATAGATGTGAATCCAAGATCTAGAGTTATGGGTTCAGAATGTATAATTAAACAAGAAAGGGTCCAAAAGTTTACTCGTATGAATATTAGCCCTTTTCTTGTTTAATTATACAAAATTCACCTGTGAAAGTTCAAAAGTTTGATGAAAGAAACTCGGGAGAAGGGTTAAATTTACCTCTAATATATGAAAATCATCAATTTTATCATACTTTTTTGTACCATCAGTACAAAAATACCATGACATTACTCAAGTAGCTTGAATATTATAACCCTTCTCCGTTAGAGTTGTTCAAGGTGGATACTCAATCCCACGTGACACTACATTTTCGTGTAGTAGACACACTGCCCCGATTCGTTTTACCCCTCCCTTCCACCTCTTCTACCATCATTAGCACCACCATAGGAACCAACTGTGAAGAGAAGTTCAAGATTCAGATGTGTTAGAAGGTGCTATATACATATTCAGATATCCTCTTTCAAAATGGTTGATTTAGAACAAATATTGATTCAATAAGTCTTAATAATTATGTAGTACTAAAATGAAAAGGAGCCTATGAAATGGTGGAAGAAGAAATAGAGGGAAGGGAATAAAATAAATTGGGACGGCGAGGTGACATGTCACGTGTTGTCCATCTCACAAAATATAGTGTCACATAGGATTGATTGTCCACCTTTGAACAACTCTAACAGAGGAGGGCTATATTTGAGTAACATCAAGGGTTTTTTTTGTAGTGATAATATAACGGATGATAAAATTGACTTTTCACAAATTTTACCGTGAACAAAACCAATACATTTATAAATATAAAAGAATCGCCGAAAAACATATGTTTATTATAATTATAAATTTCTTTTATTATTTCGTTAGAACAATAACATAGATCCGCTTTTATTGTTTCCCATTTTATTAACATCCTTTGACTTGTTTTTGTTTTTTTTCAAACTAATAATTCAAAAGTTAGTTAGTAAAAACAGTTAATTACAACCTCAAATTATTATTTGGACATCCTTTTTTCCCGCAAAAATTAGTGTTATATATGTGTTTATTTAGTATCATTTTATTCCCAAGCTCTGGGAATTCACCTGCAGTTAATAAAATAAAAACTACCAAATCTTGGGATTTCCCCCCCAAGGCTGCAGGTGGTAGCAGAAAAAAAGACAAACAAAAACCAAAAAAGAAAAAAAAAATTTAAAAATATTTCTGCTACCAAAAATAATGGCCTCTATTAGTTTTAATAATTCAGTTATTTTTCTGTTTTCCCTTTTATGTTTTGCTTCTATAATCCCAAAATTATATGCCAATATTGCTGATTTTGATCCTTATTTGGAAAAAAGAGCTGAAGAAGCCCTCCAATCTTCTCTTGCTGCTTATAATGAAAATCCTGAGGCAGTCACTCAAATTTTCAACAAAGAAGTTGGAGAGTAAGTGCTTTTAAAATATCGATCTGACGTTTCAAATCATGTATATATGTATCTTTTTCAAGACACGAGGTTAGAATATTGTAAAGAAATGAATCTTGTGTCTAATCAAATCCCTGATAAGGAGAGGATTGTCAATATCATAATACATAAAGTATACATTCCGATTATGTAGGGACATTTTGAATTGTTGAATAGAGTGTTCACTCTACCCTTCCGAAACCCCACTTGTGGGATGTATGCTGAATAGAGCGTTCACTCTACCCTTCCCAGACCCCACTTGTGGGATGTATGTTGAATAGAGCGTTCACTCTGCATAGATTGTCAAAAGATCCTATTTTAACATGAGTTATTGTGTAAATGTTGCAGAACAATTCTCAATGGCACAAGGAGGCATTTGAAGGAAGAAGATAAAGAGGACAAGAATGAGAAGGTTGAAAAGGATGATAAGGAAGGAGATGAAAAAAGTGTTGATGGTTGCAAGGCATACAATCCAATTGACAAATGTTGGAGATGTGACAAAAACTGGGCTAATAACAGGAAGGCACTAGCAGATTGTGCTAGGGGATTTGGTCATGGTACAACTGGTGGTAAAGATGGTAAATTCTATGTTGTAACCGATCCATCGGATAACAACGTGGAGGAACCTGTTCCTGGGACCCTACGTCACGCTGTCATCCAAGAGGAGCCATTGTGGATCATCTTCGAGAAGTCGATGATTATCAAGTTGAAACAAGAACTTATGATCAACAATGATAAGACAATTGATGGCAGAGGAGTCTCTGTTCATGTTGCATATGGAGCTGGACTTACCTTACAATTTGTGCACAATGTTATTGTCCACAACATTAGAGTTCATCACATCCTTTCTAAGGATGGTGGTATGATTAGAGATTCTGTTAAACATATTGGTCTTAGGACAGTGAGTGATGGTGATGCTATTTCCCTTTTCGGTGCTAACCGTATCTGGATAGATCATTGTACTTTAACCAAGGGTGCTGATGGACTCGTCGATGCTATCATGGCTTCCACTGCTATCACCATTTCTAACTGCAAATTCAACCATCACAACGACGTAAGTTTTTCTCATCTCAACATTTTCAGCTATGTTCATAAGCCAGACCTCAATAGGGAGTTGTCAATGTGTTTAAGCTAATAACAACAAATGACTATTCAGGTTATGCTTTTGGGAGCAAACGATGCCTTCCCTCAAGATAAAATCATGCAAGTTACAGTTGCATTCAATAGGTTTGGAAAGGGATGTATCCAGAGGATGCCAAGGTGCAGGTGGGGTTTCTTCCATGTTGTCAACAACGACTACGCCAAATGGGAAATGTATGCTATTGGTGGTACAGCTAACCCCACCATCATTAGCCAGGGTAACCGTTTCAAGGCTGCCGACAATCCCAACACTAAAGAGGTATATCTACTTAACATTCCAATCACATTTTCTTTTATAAAAGTAGTGTCCGTGGGTCAGCTTGCACCCACCTCGACTATTTCACCAAATACCTGCTACCTCCAATCAACACATATATCAGATAGTATATATATGTCTACCAAGGCTTAAGCATATATGACGAGATCACTTAACATTCTTGTTCAATCACATTTTCTTTCATAGAAGTGGCGTCCGTGGGTCAACTTGCACCCACCTGGACTATTTCACCAAATACCTGCTACCTCCAATCAGCATAGATACCACATATATGTGACGAGATCACCTAACTTTCTTGTTCAATCACAGTTCTTGATATGTTATATTAGATTGTAGCATAAGGCCAACATAAACACACTTAAAACAACATTCTCGCCTTATTGCATTGTCAATTACTAATATAACGTATGCTAAAATGAAGGTGACAAACCGGAATGGCGCCCCAGAAGCTTTGTGGAGAAACTGGCAATGGAGATCCGAGGGTGATTTGTTCAAGAACGGAGCCTTCTTTAGGGAGTCTGGACCAGAAATCAAGAGCACTCCATTCACAGAACATACCACAATCCAGTTTGAGCCTGCTAAATTTGTAGGCAGACTCACTCGCAAGGCTGGTGTAATCCAGTGCAAGATCGGAAAAGCATGCTAGGCAATTTATATGTACATGATAATAACAATTATAATACATAAAACATATTGTACATTTCATTTTTGGGGTTGACATGGAGCCGAACATTTTTTTTGGGGGTTTTTTTACAGTAAGAGAAGAAGAAAATGGCTAAGACATCTATCTGTTTTCTCTGGTTTTTTCGACTTTTGCTTTATTTCTTCTTCCTGGCTGGTTTACTCTATAGAGGAAACAGTGAGGAGGGGGAAGAAAAGGAAAAAAGTGGGTTCTCAAGAGTTCAAGTTTATTTTTTTGTAACAGAAGTTTTGATTTATGATTTCTAATAAATGTAAATTTCCCTCTTTAAATTTCAATATAGGCTACATGTCTCCCCAAGAGTGAAATTAATTGTAATACAACCTTTTCTATTACTTAGTACCCCCTCCATTTCAATTTGTTTATCTTTGACTTAGCACCGAGTTCATGAAAGTAAAGAAGACTTTTGAATCATCTAAAGATACTTAGAATGTAACAAAATGCTCATTAATCTAGTGGTCTTAACCATAGGCACACAGATTGAAACGGAGGGAGTACATGTTTTCATGCAACAAATACTCATGATATTTGTAACAGTTTTATATTCAAGATAGATTTTTCCATAACCTTAAAGCAAATTGATCCAAAGTTTTCAATCGAACAAACAGTTAAAACGAAGAAATATCAGAATTGAATGGGAGATCGATCACATGTACAAGCACAGATGAAGAAAACCAGAAAATTGGATTAAACGAGATATGTGAACAAAGTCGAAACATCAGGGATTTCCTTACAAAGAACTATCTGCTTTTGGAGTTGTTTTTATGAAGACATGTCCTGGTATTGTGTCCTTTTCCTAAACACACGCTGCAGCTATAAGTTCTCTTTACTCGAGTCTTGATTGTTGCAACAACTTTAGTGTCGAATTCATTCTTTTGGTGGCATGTTCTTCTATTATGTCCACTTCTTTGACACTTGCTGCAATGATGATTAACCTTAACTGTCTTTTTTGGTACAATTAAGCTCAACTTTAAGCAAGTTCTTCTGTTATGACCCTTTGTTCCACATAATCCACATCTATAATGTCTATCCGTATTGTCTCGAATTTCTGGACAGTAGTTACTCCTATGCCCTTCCTGTCCACAATGTCTACAGTAAAATTTCACCCCTGCAATTAGAAAATGACAGTAAGATGTTGCTCCAGAATATCAAGAATTATGTGCAGCAAGCCAAATGGTGAACTCAACTTATTGTGACTAGTAAATGAAGGGAAACAAGAGTAAAATCTTTCCATTGTTTTTTTCTTTCTTTTTCTCTATACCTTCTCGTTTTACGTGCTGTATACAGACAAGCGTAGAGACCATGATGTAGCTCACGAAGAACGTAATCTAGCTTGCACGTATAGTTTGTTGTGTTGTACATTTGTGCTAATGATGCTAGTCAGGTAGCCCAATTGTATGGAGTCATTATAAAATGGTTTACACCAATCATTTTCTTTAGTGTAACAGTTCAAGACCCTTAGAGAAGCATTCAAGGAGTGGCACTTGACATTTTCGTTAAAGCTATGATATATATCCAAAGAACAGAGTAAAAACACCATTGATTTAAGCGTGACATGAGCAAAAACTGTATAGACCTTTCATGGATATGCTTCTCTTGCGGCGGTTATCTGGATTGCGGAAGTAACTTTTCATGGATTCTGAGGCACGTTTCCTAGCGGCAGGTGTCCCCTTTGCTTTCTGCATAACAAGTATCATGGCAAGAAGGTGAATGTACTATGAGCTTATGGATTAGAGCGATGCATATCAAGCTATAGTTACACATAGCTAGAGGTTCATCATTCAGATATGAAATTGGCAAGTCAAACCTTAATAGCAGCTACTCTTTGTGCATGAAGCATCGGATCGCCATGGATAATCTTCATCCTTTTACTAAATAATCCAGTCTTGGCATTTAGGCTCTGCAATCATCCAACTAAACAAAAAAGATTATATTCAAGAAATGGAAAATCCGTCAAAAAGTTTTAACATTTCGCATAAGGAACCAAAGATCATCCAAATGAAAGGTTCACGACATTGTCCAAGCAATCGTGGTAAAATAGAAACATCAAAACAAGAAAACCAAATGACTAAACTTTGATCGAAGAGGGTGCTAACAGAAAAATGAATACTAACTTTTAGTGATCTGCTGATCTTCAAATTGACTTCTGTGTTGGGAGATTGGTAGACACGCTTGGTTTTTCTCTTCGCGTCAAGCTTTATGTCTAAGTCGTCCACTTCATCGTCTTCCTTTACTTTTAAAGGGGAACTGAAAAGGATCATGTAGATTTTTTATATAGCAAAATTAACTAAATTTGCAGAGAACCATTGCTTCTATACTATAAATAGAAAGAAAGGACGATTATAACACAAGATGTATAGTGCAGAATATAAAACAAAGGTTACTTTAACTCCTTCGACTACATAAAACCAAATGCCATACTTAAGCCAAATGTGGCGATGTGAACATGTTGGTATATATTGAGAGTAGCACAATGACGAAAACTTGATTATTGAGCAAAAGTACATGCCGGATGTAATAATATTACAACGAGAACACATGGTTTTGGCAAACTGGAATCTAACTGAAACTTGAGGCGGGAAAAATTACCTTGATCGAGCTTTCTCCCAAGGCCGTTCATCGATAGATTCTTCCCAAATGACACAATCACCACCACACTGATGACAAGTTATCATACCCTGCCGTACATGAAAACTTATACTAAGGACATAAATCTTATACGATACTCCAACTTACATATCAAGTGTATATACAGGTAATTTAGAGCTCAATAAACATGATCTACAAAAGAAGTTACCTTTCCGTTACACAACGAACAATCTAAGTTGGATCTCTCTATTCCACACTCAGTACATGGAGTGTAGCCTCTTCCTCTGCAGCTTGGACAAGGCAATTCTCTTATATACTGGCCATTTGGGCCAAACCATGATCTCGGACTCGATGCACTAGATATGGCCTTCCTGGAAAATGATAAAAATACAGATCAAAGATGGATAGTTAACTTGCTCAGGAGATAATTACGAGTAAATACACGAAAGGGGGCTTCTTATCATGAGGATGGGGTATATAGTTTGTTCTTCAATTATCAAAATATCCAGTCTATGTAGTTTTCCCTGTCTTATTAGCAAGAGAAGAACAAAAAGTATTGTTGTTTCAAGGAGCAAACTTCAACACTCTAAATTAAATTTCCGCATTCAAAAAAAAAGGAAGGTGATCATAATTCAGCACACGAATTACCATTAGTTAGGAAAAATTACAAAAATATAACAATATAGATTTAAGGAAAATACAACAATAACATGCCTAGTGTAATCCCACAAGTGGCGTTTGGGGAGGGTAGCATGTACACAAATCTACCTTGGGAGGTAGAGAGGTTGTTTTCAATAGACCCTCGGCTCAAGAAAAGGCATATCAAAGAAAATCAAAAAAGAAATAACGGAAGTGAAGAAATCATGGCAAAGCATTCAGGATAAAAAAGGAACAGTAACTACAACAAAATAGTGTGATAATCAAAGTACAAGAGACAATAGACAGTAACAAAAATCAAAGGACAAGAAACTATAGGAGAAATACTATGACTACCAGTATAGATTTAAGGAAACTATATTACAACTAGGGGTGTACATAACCGGGTTGGTTTGGGTTTTTCAAATATCAAACCAAACCATTTGTGTAAAATTTTTTAATTTATAAACCAAACCAAACTAATAAAATTCGGATTTTTTCGGGTTTTTCAACCTCGAGTTGGTTCGGGTTTTTCAAATACCAAACCAAACCACTGTGTCGAATTTATAAATTTATAAATCAAACCAAACTAATAAACCTTGGATTTTTTCAGATTTTTGGATTTTTTTGTAAACGTTGCATACAAACATATAATTAACTTGTGCTCCAAATATTTCTTTAGTCCAACCAAAATACAATTATCTAAGGTGTTTCTTAAGAAAATAACACAAAATATGAGACGAGTACTGATGACACTAAAATATTCAATAAAAAATAATAATGAAATCATCATATCAAATAAATATTGCAAAGTACTAAATATTTAAGGAAAATTAAAATTAGATTATGTATTTTAATTGTCTAAACCAATGTAAAACTAAAGAACAAATATTCAATATTATTGTCATTCTTAGTGTTGAATTGATTTTCTTTTTGCATTAGTATTAATTTGATTTTTAAGTTTTATTATAATTATCAACATCTATGAACTATAATCTTTATTGGACCATTCCGAATTCTAAGTTTTAAACTTGAAATAATATATTAAAAGATAAAAACTATGAAATAGTATAAGAAATATTTTAAAATTATATCAAAGTAAATATTTTTATGTATAAAATAAAATTTTAAAATTACATATATAATATCGGGTTGGTTTGGTCTTGGGTTGTTTTTTTTTAGTTAAAACCAAACCAACCCAAATATAGTCGGGTTTTTTTTTCCAATACCAAACCAAGTCAAACCAAACCACTAGTCGGGTTTTTTTTCGGTTTAACTCGATTTGCGGTTTGGTTCGGTTTTGTACACCCCTAATTACAACAATAAGAAAGAAAACATAAGGTCATTAACAAACTCTAAAAACTTAACAGAGAACACAAATAGAAACTCTACTGCAACAACATGATATAGCCCATGATTTAATACAAGCAATTAAACAGAAACAAAAGAACAAAGCTAAAACCTTGGCTGTAAATCAGCAGCAAGTCCAAAAAGCTCCTCTGAAGGGTCATACATAGCCTATCAATACAAGAAGTTAAATGTAAGCCCTCTTATGATAATGTGTTCCAAGAAATAACAGGTTAATATCACTTAGGTCATTTAACTATATACTATAATGTTAAAGTCACAAATGCCATTAAAATAATTTAATTTTATTCAATATAACAGTTAAACTTTACTACTAACACTAAGGGGGTCGTGTCTGGTAACTGGTTAGAATTATGCAACTATTAGTAATGCAAGATATACTAACATTAGTTATACAAGTTTCTAAATTACAAAACATAATAATTTTATACATGAATAACTATCTACCAAACATTGTATAACTTATGTAAAGATTAATACATAAATAAGTTACC